TAGTCTGGTAGCTTTGAGCGCTTTTCATGGGAGAAAAAAACTATCGTATCTGGAAGCTAGACATCACGAATGGAAGTCAAAAATTATTGCAAAAACATTCTGAAAGCAGGGTATGTCCCAGGTAGTAAAGGTTACTGAAAAGCTGAATATTTCCAGAAGCATATTCACTCCAAGCCTCTCCAAATAATTTAGGTGGAGTAGCAAACTAAGAATAAAGGTTCTATTTCTCTATTCATTGATTCTATTAACCAGTCTTTATTGAGAACGACCTGTGTGCCAGGTAGTTTCAGGCACTAGGAATATAGTGGCAAAACAACTGAAAAATTCTGCCCTCACAGAGCTTTAATTCTATTGGGAAGAAACAATAACAAGATATACAATATGTTAAATGATGACAGGTGCTAAGGACAAAAATAATGAAAGATGAGGGATAGGAAGTATTGGGGGAAAGTTTCAATTATAGATAGGACAACTACTAAGCAGGTAATATTTGAATGAAGACCTGAAGGAGATGAGGAAATGAGCCATGCAAGTAACTGTGGGGGTTCAGGGAAGAGAGAACATTTCAGACAGAGGGAACAACAAGTCCAAAGTTCCTGACAGATTAGCATGACTGGCCAGTGAAGCTCAAGCAGAGTGAAGCAGAGGAAATGAAAAGGAAGACAAGGTCAAAGAGATCATGGCAGATCGTTCATAAAGGAAGTAAGAGCAGGTGCAAAGAGATCAACTAATTAGGAGGCATCTGCAGCAATCTCAGTGAGAAATGATGGGATGAACTAGAGTTGCAGCAGTACTGAATGTGAGATGCAGTGAGATCTCTGAATATGTGAATATCTTTAAGGGTAAAATAGAATTTGCTAATTGGTCAGATATTGGGTGTAGAGAAAGACAGGAATCAAGGAAGACTCCAAAGTTTCTAGCTCAAGAACTAAAAGAATGGAATTGTCTATTGAGATGAGGAAATCTGTAGGAAGAGTAGATCCAAAGTTCAGTTTTAGACATGTCAGTTTTGAGACTCCTATTAGCCCCCCGATTAGTTGATTCCAATTAAATAAGGTATTATATCTGTGCTTTTATAAATGCATATATTATCAATATATTAATAAAATAGTTTGAAACTTTAAACATAGGTCCTCTTCTAAGCTTTATCAATGGCATACTGGGTACCTTGGGTCATTCATTCCATAGCTGTTTGGAATCAGTAAGAAAGAGAAGAATTATACAGAACCCTAATTTGGTCAATTAATACTTCTAAGAAAGTATTATATTCAGAACAGCTTTGTCAAAGGCAATCAGTTCTCAACCAATCACACATTAAACAAATGTTCATTAAGAGCCTATTATGAATCAGACACTGCCATGAATTAGAAATATGATAGTGAACAGACAGACATGGTAGTCTCTGTCTGCAGATAAATTAATGTAATGAGGGAGGCCATATGAAAACAATAGTATCACATACATAATGAATTAATCAACAGCAATTGTGGCAAGTCCTATAAAGAGAAGTTATACAGCATGGCCCTGACACACGGTACACTTCCAACACTCTTACTCTCCAGCAGTAGAGTGTCTTGGGGATGGACTACATCAGCAAAATGGCACATGTGCTCCCAAAGAAGTAACGTCTTTAAGGATGGTAAAGTATTCAAAACCATCTTAATCTTTAAAAATCTTAAGTGAAAATTCTATGCTTCTATCATTCAATGTTGAATTACGTATACAGTGAACTACAATCTCTCTACCTTTCTGGGACCAGGGACTATGTAAAATAAGGTATGACCTGCATTTGACTGAAATGAAAAACAGAAAGCTATACCTGAATTATACTCTATGATAACAACTCACAAAGAACTTCAAGATGAAAATGAGAAAGTCAAAGTAGCTCTTAGAGTCACAGCTGAGTATAGCAGTATACACACAAGAATGAAATTTTAGAGCTATGAAATATGTATAATGTTAGGGAGGATGCAACCCAATACGACTTTCATCTGATAAAAAAGAAATTCAAGCTCAGAAAGATTACATGACTTGCTCAAAGTTAACCAGCTAACGAGCAGCAAAGCCAAGACTAGACCAAAATCTCCCAACACTTCAGGCTGCACCCAGACAATTCTCACACTGTATTTTTCTATCGGAAAGAAGGAAAAGAAAGAATGAAACAGATTCACTAGTAAAAAGTTTTTGCTTTGGAAGTCTTCTTTTGGAGAATGTTCTAGGAACTAAAATTGTACTTCACAGAGGATTTCTTCTACACATGTTATTGGTTCTGAGAGAGGGGAACAAGAAACAGTTGCTGTATCCTGGGAAGAAGCCCTGAAAGAGCAAAGAATGAAGAGCTTCAAGAGAAAGTATTAGAGAGGAGGAGTGGAAATGTGTTATGAAAGTTTCTTTAATTAGAAGAAGAAAATATTAAGTAACTATCAAACAGAAGAGTTAAACAATCACACCCACTGTAGATATCTATTAGAAAGAGAATTACCCAGTAAATTGAAAATAAAGTATTTAAAAATTAGGTCTCTTTCCTTAATACTACTGTTGGGGCCAGGAGTAAAACAGAATTACTTTTTTTCTGAGCATCATTTAAGTTATGAAAGATAAGAAATTCTCCATCAGTTCTAAATGTTTTTAAAGCAGATCTTTCTGCAAGGCTAAGCTACCTAGAAACTCTTGGTGAGGAATAAAAACTTCTCCCCCATTATCAAATAAATTGATTTATGAAGCTTCTTCAGTATTAAAAATCCCAAAGGGCTAAAGGCATTCAATATTACTTAAAATTGTGGAAATAAAAATAAATCCATAAGCCTATAAAGCATAAGCCTAAGTAACTAAACTGCAAAAAATCCAATGAACTTCATAAAGACTTGATTACAAGTGGTATGATGTAAGAAATTTTAAAATATGCCACAGAAAATAAAAATTTTTCATCCATAAAGGGGAAGGCTATTGGCTTATTGCTCCTTTATGGCTCATCTGCTCTAATTGATTAAAGTGATTTTAAGAAATATTTTCTTTCTGACTCTAGAATTTCTTTCTAACTCTATCTAGAAAAAAATAGCGGCCATAAATCCTTTTTCCATCTGTAACCACAGAAGAAGACTTTCATCTACCTTTGCTATGTTTTTCTTAAACTCAAAGCTGGGATAATGATTTGGTTTTCCTTATTTTCATATTGTAAGATATTATATTAAACTTACTTCAAACCTTTTAATAAGATACAGAGATCTATGTAAGATCCTCATTTGCTCACTGCTCTATTCATGGTACCTAAAACAGTGCCTGACATAAACTATTCATTCAAATAACACTGGTTGAGTTGAATTGATTTGAATTAAATTATAGACTATAAAAGCTTTATCTTAACATTAACTTGTTTGTGAAAGTGAAATACATTGGAATCAGCACATAATGATGACAATGAGAGAACAACAATTGCATTATAATCAAAGTCTTTGTATTACATAATTGCCTTATGTCACAGAAGAAGACTCGCCTGGAGAATATCTCTGAATCTGTATGTAAAAGAAAAGCTCTGTTATGAAATTAACGAAACCCTAGGTATTTGTGTAATGCTTAACAATTTACAAAGCATTTTCATACATATACATATATACATGTATGTATATAAATACATGATATTATAAATACATTATATACTATATTTACATATAATCTATGTTTTATATACCATACATATATAATATGTAATAGGCTTTATTATCCACTCTTTATTGATAATAAGACCAAAGCTCTAAGAAACCAAGTGTCTTGTCGCTAAGATGCAACAGAGTCAAAGTAAACTCCGGCCTCTAAACTCCAAACTCAGATGAACCTTCTACTTTCAGCTGGATAGTTAAAAGATTGCAGGTTTATACTTGAAATACAGTAGTCCCCTTATTCACAGGGGATACATTCCAAGACCCCCAGTGAATGCCTGAAGGCATGGATAGTACTAAACCCTATGTATACTAGGTTTTTTTCCTATATATGAAACCGAATAAAGTTTAATTTATAAATTAGGCACAGTGAGGGACTAACAACAATAATTAATAATAAAACAGAATGAATATAACAATATACTATAATAATAGTTATATAAGTATGGTGACTCTCTCAAAATATCTTACTGTACTATACAGCGCGTAACTGAAACCATGAAAAGCTAAACTGTGGATAATCTTGGAGGGACTACCATAAGAGCAATTTTCGTCATTGTTTTAATAATCTCTTTTTTATTTCATTTTATTTTTTTGAGGTAGAGTTTCAATCTGTCACCCAGACTGAAGTGCAGTAACGTGATCAGAGATCACTGCAGCCTTGACCTCACAGGCTCAAGTGAGCCTCCTACCTCAGCGTCCTGAGTAGCTGGGACCACAGGCATGCACCACCACACCCGGCTGATATTTGTGTGTGTGTGTGTGTGTGTGTGTGTGTGTGTGTGTGTGTGTGTGTGTAGAGATGGGGTTCCATTATGTTGCCCAGGCTGGTCTTGAGCCCCGAGGCTCAGGCAGTCCACCTGCCTCAGCCTCCTAAAATTCTGTGATTACAGGCACAAGCCACTGTACCTGGCCAAAACCTCTCCCTTGACAGGGAATAAGTCATAAGTCACACAAAATCTCACAAGAGATCTTGGCATGTGGACACTTGGAAACATATCTCTTGGCTGTCATTTTTGAGTACCTGAGTTTATTATCTCTCTAAAATATTTTACTATTAAATAGTATACAAATTGACCTGTTTTTCTAATTCCTTATAAAAGCCAAAATTATAGCAACATGGATCAATGAAACAATGCCCCAGTAGTGAAATAAGAGGTGCCCTGCATTCATGTCAACAAAAAAGAATAGAAGAAATAGAATTATTTATTCCTTATCCCAGCCAACATCATGCCCATTGGCCAATCAAAGTGCTAAGGCTAAAGAACGGCACTCCAGGATCAAGCATCTTGCCCTGCCCTTGTTTCCCTGGGTCAGCACTGCATACAGTCAGCCATGCCTCACCTGGCTGTTTCCTTCCACTCCATCTCCTGCCCATCCACGGCCAGCAGCTCATCCAGTTCCGTGAAGAGCTGAGGGGGAGCTGGGCTGTCATCCTCCTCTCCCAAGATGAATCGGATGCGTTCTGCAGCAGGAGAGACTGCAGAAGTGAAAATACTGTGGTTAAACATTGGCTGGACAACCCTGAGGAAAGTGGAGCTCCGGGTTCTTCCTCTCTCCCCAAGGTTACTGGGCTTCCCTTCCACATTTTCAGCGGACATCTTTCTTGCTGAGCCTCCCAAATCCCAATCTAAGGCCAAAAAGAAATCAAAGCCCTTCTCTATTCTTTTGGTTCTGAACTGTATCTTGGTTCTCCACCACTCTCCAGAAGGACAGCACTCCAATTCCGTGTGATGTCTCGCAAAGAACCTTTAGCCCTCAGATGAGCTGAGGTCTAACCACTCACTTCCCCGCCTTCTCCACTTATGACTCATCCAAAATTATTAGACAAAAGTCAGCTTGAACCAATCACTTTTTTATACAGCTGTGGGAGGGGCAACAAAGCACCCCAATCCTGAGTTACCCCAAGTCCCCACCTCCCACCCACCCTCCCTCTGTCCAACGCCTAAAGCTCATGTCCTCACAGGCTTCTCCCTACCAATAACTGGCTAATTGCAAAGTTGATGAAGGAATATTTAACAAGATGGGCCCTCTTCTTTACAGAATGGTAGTACCCAAAAATGTTTAGTCACACTTCAATGCACTTGAAAAACAAGCCCAAGTAAAATATTGTACACTTGAGGGGGAGAAAAAAAAAAAAAACATTTTCCAACACACTCAAGCACATAATTGAATGCCCTACTAGCTCCTTTTGACCCTATCTCCTGAAAATCATGTAATGAAAAATTAACTAGAATTTCCCCCAGGTCATGGGTTACTCCCTTTCCAAAAAAAAAAAAAAAAAAAAAAAAAAAAAAAAAAAAAAAAAAACAGAAGACGACGACGACAAAGAAGAAAAGAGAGAGACAGACAGACAGAAAAGCAGTTGGAAATTGATGGTCATGTTACAAATTTAAGGCCCACAAATACTCCTCAAAATCCCTGGATAAAACCAAGAATGTTATATACATGTGAATGCAGTTCAAGCACACACAAATATATTTATTATGGATAGACAGACACACACACGTGCGTGCATATATAAATCTATAGAAATATATGTACACAAACAGCCCAATAAAACCAGAAAATCCCTACCATCTGAAAACTATTATAATACGGGACAGAATAAAATTCCATAGATCAAAATTTATTTAGTACAAATAAACCCATGAAAAATATTCAACCTAATTAAAAATCAAAACTAATCATTAAAATAAAATGTGTTTTACCTATTAAAATGTCAAAAAATGGCAGGGCACAGACGCCTGTAATCCCAGCACTTTGGGAGGCCGAGGTGGGCAGATCACCTGAGGTCAGGAGTTTGAGACCAGCCTGGCCAACATGGTGAAACCCCATTTCTACTAAAAAAAATACAAAAAATTAGCTGTGTGCCTGTAATTCCAGCTACTCAAGAGGCTGAGCCACAAAATTCACTTGAACCTGGGAGACAGAGGTTGCAGTGAGTCAAGATCATGCCACTACACTCCAGCCTGGGTGTCAGAGCAAGTCCCTGCCTATAAATAAATAAATAAATTCAATTACATGTCAAAAATAAAAAAAATGATAATCCCAACGTGGGCAAGGGTTTGGGAGTCATGCACCCAGCACTTCTTCATTTATGTTACTGGTAGGAGCCTAAATGGAAACATCTCTCTAAAGGGAGATGCTTGAAGGACATGAAAATTTCTGGAAGGACATGAAAATTTTTAAATAGTGTATATATCCTGTGAGCCAACAATTCTTCCACTAGAAATACATTCATTCTAAATAAATAAGAGTTATCTCAAAGGTTTAGTGACAGAAGTGATCATTCTAGCATTGTTTATAACTGAGAAAACAGAAAAATCCTAAACATCCAAAAAGGAAGATTGGTTAAATAAAGTATGGTACAACTATAAAATAAAATACCATGCAATCATAAAACATGTAGTCAAAATAGCTGGCCTTTTTTGACATGTATATCATATAAACTTAAATTAAAAATAAAAATAATAGACATTAAATGATCCCATTTTAGTAAAGAAACAATAAATATGTATTTCTATAAAATAAAGCTAGGAATTGAGGCAGCCCTCACTGTGCTCAGTCTGATATGTGTGCATTTCAGTTACCACAATTTAGGTTAAATAACATAGTCCCTAACAATACAGTTCAAATTTCAGTTAACATGGTATATTAATAGTAATTTCATAAAGTACAAATTTGCTGCTAGCTCTTCAGTCCATAAATCACTTCATAACATTATGTGCATAATGATCACTGACCAATCATGGGGTGCTTCTTTAAAATATGTCAGTGATTGATCACTGCATGTTTGTTATTCAGTTCACACACAGACAGCAAAGTGTGTAGATGTGTTGTCTTCTTGTCTCCCAAAGATAAATGCATGTAACATGGATAATCAAAGAGGGAACTGGCCAACAAGAATGAAGGCAACGTACAGAAACAAAAATTAATACTATTGGAAGTAAAATTTGTATCAAACGTAAATGGAGAAGACGTAGCTAACCATGGAATGTAAATGATGCCGCCATTCACCATTGAGAGACTCTGTATATGCAGTCAGAGGAACTTAGTGAAGGTGAATTAATCAACATAAACAAGGAAAGTGATTGTGATGAAAAGGATGATGATGTCCTAGAGAAAGTGATACTGGCTAAAAACTTCACATTCAAGGAATTTTAGGAGACATTTCTTGACATGGAAAGCACACAGGATAAAATGTAAGCTGATTCACATTTAGAAAGCGTAACAGTTTATCTAGGCATTGAAAAAAAATACATGTTCCTTATCGGTACAACAGGAAGAAGGCAAGCACTATTCAAATACTCCTGATAAGACTGTACAATGAAACAACTTAATATCAATGTTTCTAATGTTTTAAATTGCTGTGTACTGAATAAATATTAGTTTTACCTTTTTTCATTTCCCTATACCTTTATAGCTAACAAGAGAGATTTTAGTGATTTAAAAATTTTCAAGGTCAAAGAGCAATAGTAACTGTTTTCATTGATTATTAGGATCGCTTTACATAATTTCAGTTTTCTTTTTTTTTTTTTTTTTTTTTGAGACAGAGTCTCGCTCTGTCACCCAGAGTGGAGTGCAGTGGCCGGATCTCAGCTCACTGCAAGCTCCACCTCCTGGGTTCACGCCATTCTCCTGCCTCAGCCTCCCAAGGAGCTGGGACTACAGGCGCCCGCCACCACGCCCGGCTAATTTTTTGTATTTTTTTAGGAGAGACGGGGTTTCACCGTGTTAGCCAGCATGGTCTCGATCTCCTGACCTCGTGATCCGCCCGTCTCGGCCTCCCAAAGTGCTGGGATTACAGGCTTGAGCCACCGCGCCCGGCCAATTTCAGTTTTCAAAGTCATTTTTTTCACAGTCATGCACTACGTTACAAACCAAGGACTTCTGTATATACAGCATATTTAAATACACAGGTACATTTTCAGTGTTACATGGTTTATTTCTAGGGCTTCTGTTATCTTATGTTCACTTTTCTAAAAATTCCAAAGTGTTTACAATTCACTCATGTATTCCATTCAGCAAATATTTACTGAGCACACTGTCTATGCTCTTACTTGGCTTAACAGGCTTTATCTTCAGCCTCTGATAAAAAGATCTGATCTTACAGAGTTTACATGTATGTAGGGAAAATAAATATTAACTAAGTAATTCATTCTTTAAAGAAAAAAGTAAATTAGCACCTAAACCAATACCAGAAAAAATATCTGCTAAATATAAGTATATGCAGAACATTAAAATAAGGTAATTGCGTACAAGTACATACTGATACAGGGTACAATGAATATGTTTTACTTTGTGATTAGAAAAGATGGCTTTGAAATTTCTTTTTTCTTTTTTTTTTTTGAGATGGAGTCTCGTACTGTCGCCCAGGCTGGAGTGCAGTGGCGCTATCTCAGCTCACTGTATGCTCCACCTCGCGGGTTCACACCATCCTCCTGCCTCTGCCTCCCGAGTAGCTGGGACTACAGGCACCCACCACAATGCCTGGCTAATTTTTTGTATTTTCAGTAGAGACGGGGTTTCACCATGTTAGCCAGGATGGTCTCGATCTCCTGACCTTGTGATCCCCCTACTCGGCCTCCCAAAGTGCTGGGATTACAGGTGTGAGCTGCTGCACCTGGCCTGAAATTTCTTAATATCCCTGGTAGAAAATAATCTAAAGTTCCCGGACTTTAATGTAAAAATATTTGCAATGCCTTTCCAATCATGAAATGTGAAGTCTAATTATTTACGGGATCAAGAGGGCATGAAAATGAAGAAATGATGGGCAGAATTTGGAGTCTGGACAATACTTCTAAGGAGTAGTGTGTTCACATTACCACAAGTTTAGTCACTTTTTTCATCGTAGTGGTTCTGAAACTAGCAATCACAAATAACATCACTTTTCATCAACATTCAACATCAAAGATCCCTAAATCAGAACTAGCTTTAATTTTTTTAACTTTTATTTTAGATATAGGCATACATGTGCAGGTTTGCTATATAGGTAAATTTTGTGTCACAGGGGTTTGGTGTACAGATTATCTGCCACCTAGGTAATAAGAATAGTATTCAGTAGGTAGTTTTTTGATCCTCACCTTCCTCCCTCCCTCCACCTTCACATAGGCCCGTGTCTGTTCCCTTCTTTGTGTCCATACGTACTCCATAGAATTAGCTTTTAGAAAGGAGAAGTCTAGATTTAGTTAGATAATCAACCTTTTGTCCATTTCTAAAGATGTGATGTAGGTTTGTCCCCAACTCTAACAGAAAAAAAATACATGAGTCTCCTGCCTAAAAAACAGCATAGACAGTATATATTCCTGCTCGGCTCTACTCCACAGAGCATTACTCTGTAGTCTGGAATTCTCAATTTAGCAAAACGTGAATCACTACTCATTAGACAGCAACAGTGGTGACTCTGCAAAATGGAATGGAAGAAAAATGTAACACTACCTCCAGGTCTTCCTCTCTAGGTACCATGCCTAACCCCTT